TGTGTGTGTGTGTATTTTTTAAATGTACCATTTTTAAGTATCTACCACTACCCGATCCCTTCCAGGTTATCTTAGGCATGTATTTTTATTGCCAGGCTAATTCACCTGAACAAGATTGACCTCCGTGCTCCAAATGAAATGCTCTATGGACGAATGGGCTATATCTATGCCCTTCTCTTTGTGAATAAGAACTTCGGAGTGGAAAAGATTGCTCAAAGCCATATTCAGCAGGTACCACATTTCTGTGCTTTTTGGAGTCCTGTTAGGATCCCAGTTGTTAACTGCCTGAACTCTTGGTTTTGTTTCTCCAATTAGCATAGCCCGGGTCGAAGGAAGGTGTGTGTAGGCCTCTAAAAGGTCAGGTGGGGTCAGAGAGCTGACAGCGTCACACTGAGTGCATTGGAAACACTTAGAGAGCGACTGGGAGCGAGACGTCCAGGCTGCTCCATTTGAGAGTGTCACGGCCCTTCGGAAGACGAGGGCCAGATTTCACCTCCCAGGTGCGGATGTCTCCTTTCGTGCCTGAAGAACTCATGCTTTCCTCTGTCACGTGAATTCGCATAAGCGCTAGTAAAGGGTTCAGAATTTCCATATCTCCCTCTTTTAGGCAGAATACAGTCACCCCTGCTTCCTGAGCACAGAATTAAACTGTGCCCATCCGTGGCCGGAAGACCCCGTCTGATTCACCATGTTCTCCATACCTCTTAGCAAAAAGTTCCTTACGGGAAGATTCTTATTTTGATTCTCTCATTATTTTGATCGGTTTTCTCCCTGTAGATTTGTGAAACAGTCTTAACCTCTGGAGAGACCCTTGCCAGAAAGAGAAACTTCACAGCAAAGACTCCACTGATGTATGAATGGTACCAAGAATATTATGTGGGGGCTGCTCATGGCCTGGCAGGAATTTATTACCACCTGATGCAGGTAAGAGATGAAGATGGTGGAACTGAGAAACGCGCTTGCTCACTGCCCGGGCCAGGGCAAGAAGACCGAGGCTCCCCCTCTGGCTTTTCATTCTGTCAACCAACTGCCTCACTCTCCTTGCCATTTCCTGGCCTCGACAAACAAGGGCAATGTTTGCCAGAGTGCATTTTACAGTGTATAAACATAAAAGGCGCTGTGCCGTGGGATGCTGTCTGATTTGTAGGTGACCCGTACTTGCCTGCTTCGTGCCGCTTTGCAGACGGAAGTGTTTTGACCTGTACTTCTACATGAAGTGCCTTCTGCTCTGCTCTGCCCTTTCAGCAAATGCCTTGAATTAATATTATTGCATATTATTAGACACCACCCACTGAAACAAATTCCAAAAGAACAAAATCAATAGAAAACAAATGAGCATATGTTGCCTACGACTCACTTGGAGAGCAAAGCCACAGAGCCTTTTCAGTGGATTTTGTGTAACTTAAATAGCTGGATGCGCTATGCCCAGCCGTTCTTTGGATCTAATACTATTAGGAGACATCAGCCAAAGTCAAATAGACGAAGGACAAGTAGGATTTACTGCAGCAAGCATAACCTGGAAGGGGAGGTCAGAAGAGGACTTTTCATGAGAGCATCATTTCCGGGGGCTTATTTAGCTCTCTTTAAAGAGAAATTGGCACTTGTGAATAAGAATTCATAGCTAAAGAAAATTGATTTTTAATGGCGGCAGAGGTGCCCCCCTCACCTTCCCAAAGTACAATGCAGCATAAAGAAAAGTGTTTCATTAATATGTTCAGCGTGAGTGCTCGGATATACATACTATTAGCTGGTTGAGTAGCTGGCTGCAATAATGCAAAATCAGTGTCAGACCTTCCGTCGCCCTGTAACTAAACAATGACAACGAAGCTGAAAAACTCAAGGTTATTCTTGCTTTTGAATGCAAAGTCCCACTTTGAGTGTTAGTGGCAGTAAGAGACCAACTTTTGTATTTGTTCTGCACTTCTCAATTAGGAGTTTTATAATGAGGGGTTTCGACAGTTCAGACTTAGACTCCTTTATTTTTCTGGCATCAACCTCCACTGGCTCTGTACCGGAAGTAAATATATATTCTTAAGTTTTCAGGAAGGAGAGTTCATGTATTGTGCAGTCTTGGGGTGAGTTAGAGTCATCTTACTTCCAGCTGCCTCCTTTTGGTGGCAGTGTGAAATCTGGAGACCTACGTTCTGAGTTTTCCATTGGCATATAATTGTCTATTTGAAATAATTTAACTTTTTTTCTTTTTTTTAAGATTTTATTTATTTATTTGACAGAGAGAGACACAGCGAGAGAGGGGACACAAGCAGGGGGAGTGGGAGAGGGAGAAGCAGGCT